TTTATTCGGAAGTGTGTTGAAAAACGTCGTTTGATATGATGACGTGTGTATTGATGATTACCATCCTCGGCTTTAAGCCGGTTGTTTTGTTTCTGAGAAGGGAAGTTCCATCATTTACTTTAATATTCTGAATGGGGCAAGTGGGAACGTAAAACTCTTACTGACTAAAAAAAACACGTTCCTTAAGAAGACTAGAGTCATCAGTCATATGTATATCTCAGCTTAAAAATTGCTCAAGTCAGTAACTAATATATTTCTGTACCTAACTACCAAATCCATCTATTCATTTTACACGAAATAGTAATATACTAGATAGGTTATAATCATACTGTTTTATATCTTTTCATCTAGTAAGTAGGTAGTTGTATAGAATACCAAATTATGTAAGCTGGCTAGGAACGTGTGAGTATGGTGAAATTTGATTAGGACGTTATGACTGATACCAAAACAGATGGTTTTATGAATTATGAACTTTATTTAACAGGGGTTATTTTTGAATCTTATTGGAAATAGTTCGTGAGATTCCAAGTGCATCCCTGTGGCACTCAGCGCCGCGCACCGGTATGGCCATCACTTGAATATCTTCGGAGGCTGTTATCAAATAATAATACTTAGCAGGCGCATGCCGTATTTATATGTAAGTACGAGTATAATCAAGTTGGTAAGCAGGTACCACACTTGCATTCCTTCTTAATAAATAAACAAGTGCATATGGTGAATGTTTTCTATTGAAAACAATTAGGGTTAGGGTTTGAATTAGGTAAGTAATGATTTGAATACATAACTTTTTCTACACAAAACAAGATAATAAGTCTGAATATGGCAAACCTCGAGGTGTGGTGACCAAGTCCGAAACCCTTTCGCAACATAAGATTGGTATAATAATATGTATATTTTTGGAAATACTTGTCTTTTTGCTAAATTTTTGATTGAATTAATCTGATTGGTAAATACGTTAGGTCTTTCTTCTCCTAAAAAGTGTAGTGTAGTGTAGTTCTAGTCAGCTCTATAGAACTTGAGACTTCGTATTAAAAATATTATTTCGCTGTCTATCGCCATCTGTTGAACATAACATAAATCTTAATAATTGTGATTAGCGCCATCTGTTAGATTTGATGTAACTGAAAGTGTTAAACATCTGATTACGTTTCAGTTTTAGCTACTCAACAATAGATGGCGTAATAACAGGAGCAAAATGTAGTATGACTTCTCGCCGTTAGATGGCGTTGACTTCCTGAAATATGTGTTTAATAAATAAAGATAATATTAAAATAATAGATAAATTGGATGCCAATATTCAGGATATTTTTAATTTAAATAATTTTAAAACTACAGACAACATCCAAGACAGTCAAAAAAATTGCTATCTGGGGAACAAAGTGGCGATCGAAATGCAGTCTAGTTAATCACATAACGATTAATAAGCAATTACTTTAAATTGTAACATTACCTAATATATTGTGTTAAAAATTTCGTACAAAATTAATCACAACATACAATTAAATTTGACCCGTATCAACTTCCCGCTAAGATTAAAAATTGAAAACGTATTATTTGTCGATGTTTAGTCTTCACCCGATAATTTGAGAGCGTTTTATTTTAATAAAAAAAAATTGGATCTTTATGGTTAAGTTCGCAGGTACTCAGGTAGGTAGGTAGTAAAAAGTGATCGCAAAAAATATTTCAAACATCCTGTTTGTTGAGAAAAAAAAACTTTAAAATTCGCAACGTAACGGCAAAAGATTTCTATGTGATTTGTTGGTGTTTTATTACTATGAACAAAGGTAACTTAATTCTATCAATTCTTGAAAAAAATATATTGATACTTTACTTTACTTTTACTTTAGTCTTACACGCTTAAAATCTAATGTTGAACCTAAGGTATAATCTTTATATATAAAAATGGATCGCAAAATGTGTTTGTAAGCGCATAACTCAACAACGCCTGGGCCAATTTTGCTAATTCTTTTTTTTGTTGTTTGTTATTGTCAGGAGAAGGTTCTTATCAAAGAAAATATTAGAAAAGTAGAGGGAAAGATTAGGAAAAAGTGAAACTTTGATAGTGAGATAGTTGGACCCGTGCGAAGCGGGGGCGGGCCGCTAGTAATAGATATAAAATATTTACACACATCACATTTTTACTTTACCTTCATTATTAACAATAATAAATCCTGATAATATTAGAACAAGTATTTCAACTTCGTAAATGTCAACGTCCATACCATGTTGAAACCACCGGTTCTCGTCCGATCACCGAAGTTAAGCAACATCGGGCGCGGTTAGTACTTGGATGGGTGACCGCCTGGGAATACCGCGTGACGTTGACCTTTTGCTGCGAACGGACCTTTTTTAAATTGGTTTGCCGAAATTAAGGATATTTGTGTCGAGTTAGCCCGTATTTTATACGAATATTGAGATAAAAAGTAATTTTGGTTTTTAGTCAGCTAAAAACTAGATAAATCACGTAATGGTAGGCAATGCGCGCTGTCGGTAGTTTTTGGGTTAAGGTGGTGAAACAGGCGCTTGTCTAAACTTAATATTATAAAGAGGTTTTGTAAGCTTGTATGTTCGTAAGTTTGTATGTAGGGCGTAATCTTTGGAATCGTCGGATTGCCGAAGTTCTTTAACTGACAGATAGCTACAATGTTCCTGAGTGCTATAGGCTATAATACATCACGCTACGATCAAATGGAGCCGAGTAGCGGGTGAAACCGCGCGAGAGTAGCTAGTGTGCAATAAAGTTAAAAGTATTTTACAAATATCAACCTTACTACCACTTAATACGTTATCATAGGCCCAATCCCCCCTCCCTACCATCTTCAATACCAAATCCCATATCCTAACATACCTAACCGACTACAAAAAAAACACTTCTTACTCCTTTGGTGTTCAGACGGGGCTGCAAGGCAAGCGTTATTAAAGCACCGCGACCTCGGCCTAGAGCAGGAGAAGGAACAGGGGCCTTTTTAGTCAGTAAGAGTCTGACAATCCCTCCAATCCCACCTTGGGCGGTAGAATACATTCGATGTTTTGGCCCTCATAAAAAGAACTCCTCTGGTGTCCCTAGTCCATGGGCGACGCTTATCTATACTAGTCTATACTAATATTATAAAGAGGTAAAATTTGTAAGTTTGTAAGTTTGTATGTAGGGGGTAATTTTTTGAACCGCTGGATGATCGGATTTCCAAAATTCTTTTACTGATAGATAGCTACAATATTCCTGAGTGCTATAGGCTATAAAACATTACGCTACGATCAAATGGAGCCGAGCAGCGGGTGTCACCGCGCGAGAGTAGCTAGTTGCTTAAGTTATAGGTGTCAGATGACACGCTTGCTCGTTGGCCACCCAGTCTTTATAATAAATTAATAAAAACTGCAGTGTAGTAGCTCTTTATTTTCTTGGGACAAGCCCGCCACAACCTCCCAAAACCGCTGCAACTCCTGTAAGCCAGGATCTACATTTGAGACAACTATGAAAACACCAGAACACTGAAATCCGGCGCGTCCCAGGGACATGAATGGCTGTCTTAGATCCCGCATTGGAATAAATCAGAAGATATGATTTGAGGATAAGAAAAAACTAAATAGTTTACAGTGCCCTCGGTTTTAAAAAACATGCATCCCACGAGGAGGCTTTAACAAAAATAATAATATATTCGTACTCAACCACATCATCGGAAAAACATTTTAATGAAGGAGACAGAATAGTCACTATGCAATCGTATGAAGATTAGGAATGCTAGCAAAAGTATTTTACCTACTATAACTTTTGAACTGATTAGGAAATTCCGATGAATTGTCGAAACACTAAAAATCTGTGTTCCGTCCAATAATAATTATTGTAGCTATTAAGTATCTGTTTTAAACCGACTTCAAAAAAAGGAGGAGGTTCTCAATTCGATTGTATTTTTTTTTCAATAAGTAGGCAGTTATCTATATTTTTAAGGGACAGTGTTCACAAAATTTCCGGTTATAAGTGAACCAAATGTGTTGTACCGAGAACCTTTTCTCACGATCCACTTCATAAAATTGATCTGATTGCAATATAACGGGTAAAATATGAAACTACATTTAGTGCAATCAGCAAGTTCGTTGTTGGACTTGCAATCACACGTTTAGAAAGTACATTTTTTATTATTAGAAAGATGTAGCTTAATGAATGGAAACTTATATTAAATGTTATAACTTAGTATAATATAGGATCAAATACAAAGTTTGTAAGGAGTAATTCTTAAATTCCCCGTAAAGCTAGGCGCTCAAAGGCCCGTTAATTTTCTAAACGGTTCGGCCCGCTCGCCAATTCGCTCGCGTTCCATTCTGGAACACGTTTCAATTCGAAATTCATATTTGGAACGCTCGCAACCGGTCGCCCTTGTAATAGTTGGCTGGTGTTATCAAAAAACCATTTTTTCCTGGCCTGTGTCACAACATGGGGGACTTCTTAGTGGTAAGGGATAAGGAACGTCGCGCCAGTTGACAGGGATCTGCTTAAAGTGGTCGCAAGTCGTCGGCAAGTGCACCGCGAACGAAAATATACGTCGCGCCGAGTTGTTTTGCCGCCTTATCACTGCTTCCATAGATCGTGTCGTTTGAGTAGCAAATTATTTGTGCCTATAATTGGCGAGACTCAGAGAAAAAATAGTATTTAGTCATCAGTCATCGTCGAATCAGGGTAATATTAACGTTACGCAAAAAGATAACTTCATGAACTTTAAGTACTTATCACACGGATGGGCATGATGACCTCACATTAGAAGCAAGAAAGTATATAATGACACAATTTATTAGTTTACTATGTTATTGAACTTGAGACTTTAAGTATAGAACTGATATGGCTTAATTACGTGGAGTTCCTATCTAGGAATCTATGAAAAGTAGGTATAAAACTGTCTCAAGTAGTATCTGCGTGGTTAGATATTCTATAGCGCGGGCGTCGGGGGCCGCGCGGGGCGAAGGCGGGCTCTCAGGCCGGCAACTTAAAAATGCCGCCGCAGAGCCTCCGAATCGATACGACGCGCGTCACGTGCCGGCGACCGCGACCAATAGCCGCGCTCGGGCGGCCGCGGGGCGCCGCGGGGGGCGGCTGCGGGGGGGCGGCACTCTCCGCCGACCGCCAGTACACGAGGAGCACCGCGCGGGACGGACGCACGCCGCGCGCGCTCCCCACTATACGAGTTTCACCGAAAACCGGTCCGATGCATCGTGACATGTTATAGTGTGCAGTGACGCCGCTATGAGTACGTGGACGGAGGACGTGATGTCCTGGCGGGACGAACGGCTTGGACTTACCGAACTAAGGGAGCCTACTACAAACAGAAGAAAACTACGCAGTGCGCCTTACAGACTACATCGGCCACACTTGCCCGTGCCTCACGTGCCCGAGCCACCGCCGGAGCCCCAGGGAACACACATTTCAAGGTTGTACCCGGAACTGTTAGCTCTCATATTCGAAAGGTTGCCCGTGCGGGACAGAGGACGCGCGGCACAAGTTTGCCGCGCTTGGAGGGACGCAGCTGATCGACGGTCCGTATGGCGCGGAGTGGAAGCCGCGCTGCACCTCCGCAGGCCGGCGCCCGTGCTATTCGCATCACTGGCCAGGAGAGGGGTGCGCAAGCTGCAAGTGCTGTCGCTAAGGCGCGGCTTGAGGGATGCCGTGGCGGCGCTGCCCGGCCTGGAGTCGCTGTCGCTCAGCGGCTGCTACAGCGTCACTGATGCAGCCCTAGCGAGTGCATTCGCAGCGGAACTACCAGCGCTACGGAGACTAGACCTGTCTCTCTGCAAGCAAGTAACCGACTCGTCCCTCGGAAGAATAGCACAGTCGCTTAAAAACTTGGAAGAGTTAGAACTGGGTGGTTGTTGCAACATTACGGATACTGGCCTCTTGCTTATCGCTTGGGGCCTCAGGAAACTGCGTCACTTGAACTTGCGATCATGTTGGCACGTAAACGACGCAGGGATAGCGCACCTGTGCGGTGGTGGAGAGGCGCGAGGTACTCCGGAGCTCGAGTACTTGGGACTACAAGACTGCCAAAGGTTGACAGATGAAGCGTTGAAGCACGCAGCTACGGGTCTTCCTAAACTCAAATCCATAAACCTTTCTTTCTGCGTCGCCGTGACGGACGCGGGCTTGAGGCATCTAGCGCGACTTCCGTATCTAGAGGACGTGAACCTGCGAGCCTGCGACGGGATATCGGACGCGGGGCTGGCGCACCTGGCGGAGAGCGGGAGGCTGAGGTCGCTGGACGTGTCGTTCTGTGATAAAGTTGGGGACGAGGCGCTGTCGCACGCGACGCTAGGCCTGTCGGGGCTAAGGTCGCTGTCGCTAAGCGCCTGCCGCCTCACCGACGAGGGCCTGGAACGGGTCGCCAGGCTATCACAGCTAGAAACGCTAAATTTAGGACAGTGCACGAAGGTCACAGATAGAGGCCTGCGCGCGCTCGGCGACGGCCTCCTCAATCTGCGAGCGATAGACTTGTACGGGTGTACGTGTATCACTCCGCAAGGCTTGGACCACATCGTGAAGTTGCCTCGGCTTAGTATACTTAACCTCGGACTGTGGCATGTGCGGTGACCACACACACACTAGGTAGTGTCTGTGTGCGCGTGTGTGAGTGCGACGGCCATGTTGAAGTGAAGGAGCGCCAAGGTTGTAGGTATACTCTGGACAGTGAATAAAAGAATTAACCAATTTTAAGATATTAACTATCGAATTATTATTTAGGATATGGGGGCGGCTTTCTGTTTACAAGTTTCTGTTTTTAGATCAGTTGTGTTGTTTGTTGTGTCAACTTCATCTGTGTTAATTGAAAGACAAGTTTTTGGTTAAGTTTCTCAAAGAAAGTTGCCCCAATACCTAGTCGCAATGTTGAGCCAGGCCTTTTTGAATGTTCTCTGTTTTACTTGTTTTATTGTCTTCATTATACTTTGTTATTATGTTACAACTTCCATTATTATGTTAATAATATCTAAACTTGGACAATCTTTAAAAAGGTCTGGTTTATTAAAATAATTTGCTCCATTAGTTAGGTAGGTATTTAGCCATTCTTCAAATTTATTAATGTTTTTAATTCGACCTTATACGTGAACTTAGGAGCTATCCAAATTGTTACGTGTTAGGTTTTTTTTATATTTAGTTTTGTGATGGAAGCAAGTTTTGGGAGATGAAAATTGTTTTTTAATTAATGAAAAAAAATCTTCCAAAATGCATTTTTGTATGTGTAAAGTAAGTTTAATTCGAAAACTTACAGTTTTGATATATTTTGATGCTCAATATAAAGTCATCCACAGATTAAAAGATGCCAAAATGGACTATGAGTAGCCATAACTTAAAAATGTTAATCATGATTAAACTAAGATGGAACTCAATGAGATCCTTCCCTCTCAAGTGAAAGAGGAAGGATTGAATATTTATAAACAAAAGAAAATTGTTAGAGATGAATGAAGTTATTGTTTATGTAAAGAGATTGAAACGAAGTACTGTTAATACATTTCGTGTGTGACGTAACACATAGATGACAGTGAGGTATACGAAGCATTTATCATGTGGTCGAGCTAAGAATTATAGAAAAAAATTTCAACGTATAATGAAATCAGATGATAATAATATTATATAGATTCCATTCTTTTAACTACGGCCGTAAAGATACGGTAAGAATATTAATTGCAACACGAGTCCGCTTCAAATAGGTATTGGTGGAAAATTGCAAAATAATACTTAACAAAAACTTTAATGTTTTTTCTTACCAAATGACGTGTGCGGTTAATGTTTTCTTTGTTTTTTTTTTATTTCACATTGAAAATATTAGAATAAAACGTAGCATTATATCTTATCTCGGCCACAGATCGTCCGAACAATGACTTATCCATTTTAGGCTTCCATAAGAATAAATATTTCCTATTGAAATATGTCCCAATTTTAGGATAAATATCAACGATGGCTTCCGATCAATATGACCTCCATTTTGTATAAAATTTTATGTGTGCCTCATTCAATGCGAGGGTTCCGTAGAAAAATCTCGGAATTGCTTCAATTTAATCTCCCAATTTAAAAAGATCTCGTTTATACGTAATTTTTGATATTATTATTAGTGTTATATTGTTTAAGTGAGGTGTACGTATGAGGTCGAATTGAAAAATTAAAAAAAAATACGTTGTATACTTCATCGATACGTTGTTTTTTGTACAAAACGAATGTAATATAGGAGAAAAGTGTATTAAAAGTCATCGTTTAAGTTAAAAATGATTTTGGACATTTCATTTCTGATCCTAATGGTACTAAATATGTGGGATAACACCCAAAACTTTACGTGAAACAGCTCAATTTTATTACAAGAAGTGTAATAAGACCCACTTTCTAGCCAAGACTGATTTCTAAAATCAAATGAAACAATTTTAAAACGTGAATGAATAGCTTTAGTTCGACAAAAATACTGATTAGACTAAATGAAAATAAATGAAAAATAAAGCTAAGTTCTTGAAAAGCGAAAGAACGTGAGAATTAGAAGTTTATCCATAAAACAGACGAAGTTAATAAATAGGTTCTAAGGAGGATAATTACAGATTTTTTGATAGAAAATTACACACGTGTTTCATGAAAGATATGGTGAAAATGAAAAAAACTAGACAAAATATTACCTGACAACGGTATACCAAAATCAGATTTCTGGTTGTAATAACTAGAAGTATAAAATCATAATTTTTTTTTTAAAAAGGAATCGTTTGGGATCTGTTACAATCATACCTCCATGCTGTGTAAGTTATTTCTATTCGTTCATATAAATACACGCAAATTCTGTGGATTTGTCTGTTTGTCCGTCAATGAGGTTAGCTGATTGTTCTATGTTCCAAAATGTAGACTGGTTGGAAAAATAATTCAGTATATTAGGATCCCAGCGTCACACTGGTGAACGAATTTTTTTTTGTTGTCGAATGTAAACAGCAAATTATCTAGATTAGGTATTGTTACAAGGACAATACTGTGCACGGCAGAGCTAAAATACAATAAAAATAATAAAAACTGGGATTGGTAAGAAAACACGTGTCCGTTACCCAGGCCAGATGTTGTCGACAATGGCCATTTGAATCTTATAGATAATTAGTTGTGCGGCTTCTGTAATTGTTGCGCACATTTTTAAATTTGTTGCGCTTATAGTTTTTTAATTATTTCACAAAAACATTTCCTGCTGGCGTAACGTTACCACAGCCAGACCTTTTTCTTTCCAATGGGAATATTTAAATAAATATTAGCTATAAAATTAGTTGTCTAGATAAAGTAAATGTTGTGCCTTATTTTGTATTTGTTCTTTCTTCGGTTGCGAAGTTATTCGAGATTTTGCTGCGGTAACGTTTTTGGTTTTGCTAGATCTTTGAAATGGTTAAGCGGATTCTTATCATATTTTGTACACGACTTCCGAGGACTTAGTTTAAATTTGTTGTGCAATAACAAAACCAAAATAATGCATATTTTAAAGGTTTTTTCATTAAATAGAAAAACACTTCAATTGGCCCCAGCACTCCCAATAAGAAGTCTAAAGACTTACTTTAAACGTAATTTTAAAGCTTGTAACTGCCTTCAAATGTATGTGAAGTTTCATTAGTATCCCGTAAGTATTTAACAAGTTATGATGATATTCAGTTCTTCACGAGGACGGTCTTAATGCACGCGGTGTTATTTGGCCACTGGATTGGATATATGAACTGAATGTTATGTCAATGATTAGTTGTTTAGATCAGTTGTATATACAGGAAATGTTTTTGTGAAATAATTAAAAAACTATAAGCGCAACAAATTTGAAAATGTGCGCAACAATTACAGAAGCCGCACAACTAATTATCTATAAGATTCAAATGGCCATTGTCGACAACATCTGGCCTGGGTAACGGACACAGAAAACACAGACAAAAAACATGTTACCGTAAATTCGCATAGAAAAAGTAAAAAATGTGAATTAAAAAAAAACATTAATAATCGCGATACAATCTTTTTACTTTAATAAATATGAAATGAAAAAAAAAATGATTTGTGAAACTAAATGAAAAAGAGAATCTATGTCCATGGAGTTTCTTATTCGTTCAATACTCAATACTCAATACGTTTATTGCACTCCATATGTTTAAAAGGTGTTACATAATAATATAGTAGGTACAGTATGGACCCTGTAGGGCACGGCAACGTAGAAGAGAGGAGGACGCTTATTTTATTTAGATTATGTATCACAGATTTTTTATTATTTTTTATTTCGTTCGTCTCCATCAGAATCTACACATTGGAACGAGCAAATAGCTTCGCTAGAGGACAGACGGACAGACTAATACATAAAGTTGGACCTTTTGGCATTAATTAATTTTTGTTTGACGTTCAAAAAGTGCCTATTGTGGTCTATTTGTCTTTGACTTACTCTACAAAACGGAATATCTAAATTAAAAACGAAGGCAAGGTCTGGAATCTTACTGAATTAAATATTTTGCGCTTATATTGTACCTATACGAGAGCCTAAAAAAAAAAAAATTAATTGAATGTAGGTACATTTTAAAATTTGTCTACCTACCAGGGATGGCTGGAAAGTTATCTACCTAACATAGAAAGAAAAGACATAGGAAGCTCATTTTTTTTTATATTTCAATATAGTCCCCTGCTACCGTAATGCACTTACTACATTTGTCAATAAGCAACATTAAATCGTCAAAAAAATATTTCTTGGATTGGTCGTCAAAATGGTCATCCACAGTGGCTTTCATTTCTTCATAGGTCGAAAATCGCCCACCTCTTAGGCTTTTCTTCAAATTTCTAAATAGAAAATAGTCACAGGGGGCCAAATCTGGACTATAGGGTGGATGGTTTAGTTCCGTGAAGCCATTCTTGCTTAAGACTGACCTTGCATGTAAAGCTGTGTGGACCGGAGCATTGTCGTGCAAAATTAAAACTCCTTTGCCGAGTTTGCCTCTTCGTTTTTTTTTTTAATGGCTTCTCGCAATTGGTCAAGTAAGCTGGCGTAGTAAGCTGCGTTCATCGTAGTATTTTTTGGTAGGTAACCGATCAAAAGAATCCCCTCGCCATCCCAAAAAATTGTTGCCATAAGCTTGCTTGGTGATGGCCGAACCTTAAACTTGCGCATTGGCTTCTCCCCTTTAAATTTCCACTGTATAGACTCCTGTTTGCTTTCGGTGTCCCATTGGCGAATCCAGGTTTCTTCTTCTCTGTCTTTTACTAGGTCCAAAAATGCCTCACAACATTCGACGCGTCGTTTTTTATCAAAGGGCGTCAGCATTCTCAGTACCCACCGCGCGCTTACCTTTATCATCCCTAAATGTTCGTGAATAATAACGTGAACACGTTCCTTACTAATCCTGACATCCCTAGCGATTTCCCACTGCTTGACTCTCCGATCTGCGAGTATTATTTTTTTCACTCGAGCCATCGTGTTTACTGTGACTGCAGAAACCGGCCGTCCGCTACGGGGATCGTTTCCAGACTCACACAGCCATGTTTAGATTGTTTAGACCAAAATTTAATAACAAAATCGGAAGGACATGAGTCGCCAAACACATTGGACATTCGTTGTTTTATTTGCGAAGGAGTATTTCCTTCTTTAGTTAGGACTTTAATCACGGCACGCTGCTCAATTTTAACCATTTTATTATTTTCATCCGACATGTTTACTATGTTAGTGGACTATGAAAAATGAAAACAATTAAAACAAATGAATGCTATTATTTTCAAATAAGGAATACATAAGTATTAAATCTTCATAGTGGCCAGTATCATTTTTGTAACTTTATTGAACAAAGTAGATTATATATCAGCCACCCCTCGTAGGTATTTTTAGAGACATGAGTAGATAATACGATAATTATTGTAGGCACGCAAAAAGTTTGAACGTCATAACTTCTACTTACAAAAAAGTATGATGAAGTGACTAAGTTACCACAAGAAAAAAATGAAGCAAAAACCACTTTTATTGTTGTATGTCAAAAACGAAAACGTATATAAAAATATATAATTTTGTATGAAAAGTTTGGCGTGATAGATTTTTGCATAAACTAGCATACTTATTTTTTGTAAACTATTTCAAAGAACGTAAAAATATCAATCAGTTATATGGACAAGTTATAATTATTTTGAGAAACAGACAGGTATTGCGTTAGGATACTGTAATCAAATTACAAAAGTAATCAACAAAAGGTTTGTAATAAAAAATGGTGGACAATAGAAAGATGGCGGCCACTCCATGTTCAAGTCTGTTAAAGTCATAAAAGTGAAAAACAAACCAAATAAAGTAAATACGGGTACTTTTAAAACATAACACTACAATAATAGTCAGTATGTAGCAAATAATAAAGCTCAGAGGAATGCAACTATGTCTCATTCCAACCCTGATATACTCAGGGCTGATTCTTCAATAGTCAGATAAATGTTATTTGAGGAGTAAAATTGTTGCTGTCACTGTCTTATACTAACATTCTGACGCGACAGCATCATAATTATTCCCAAGATAACTTGTGTCTATCCATTGAAAATTAAGCAGCCCTTAGTTGGTAATAAAACAAGGAATAAGAATGATTTGAAACAGTTATGACGTAACAACCCACATTTCAGGTAATTAGATTATAAACCTTAATCACTTTGCAAACGA